ATTAAAAATCTATAAGATAAATATAAAGATAATAAAAAAAGAATAATATATATATTGATATATACTTTTATACAGACTTTATCTTACTGTTATGTTAAGAACTTTTAAAATAAATACAGAAATAATAAAAAAATAAATGTATATTGCTTATGTCTTTATATAACTTTGTTTTATTGTTATATTAAAAAACTCTTAAAATAAATATAAAGATAATAAAATATATATATATATCACTATATGCTTTTATATATATTTTAATAACAGAAATGTAACAACTTAGTAAAGTAAATAGGTTGTCAACTCTAAGTGACAGGTTTAAGATTCAATTCTTATAAATAATAAATTTTTAAAATTATATTTGTGTTATAGTAACTGTCTCTTGTCGATCAGTTGGGTTTTAAATATCTGTAATCTTAGATATACCAAGTTGGGTCTCATCTGACATTGGAGCTTAGAGGCATCTATGTGAAGTGCAACATTATACATATATAGAGAAATATAAATCCTAATATTATATAAGGCTTCAGTACAAACTTATAATAAGATTACTGGGTATAGAAGACTAAAAAAATAGAAATCTACTTGAAAATCCTAAGTAAAAAGGTAGCACAAATTTTTGATAGTACTATTAAACCAATGAAGGTTCATAAAATACCTTTAAAGAAATTATTGAATAAACCAAATGACAGATATATGAGAAAAATATATGCACCAACTAGACTGCTGAAATTATCAGAAAAAAAAAATATATAAATATACTATAGCAGACCATCTGAATTGGTAGTCTAAGAAATTTATCTGTTTTGAATAATGGTTAGTAAAAAATTATAAAGAGATATTAGAAAAGATAGATATTAAGGTTTAGGTAAACTTTACAAAGATAATAGTAGTTTAATAAATAATCCTAACTATATATATTGGTCTTGACTATAGCATCAAACCAGGTTAGTAGTAAAAAGAGAATATAGTTTGCTTTAATAAGTTTATCTTAAGGATAAAAATAGTCTAAGAATTATAGTTCTATAATTGAAGATAAAAGAATTTGGATCTGTAATCTAATGAAGTTAATATTTAAGGTTAGATCAAAAAGTTTAAATGAAATACTCAAACAATAGTATTAGATATGACAACTGATAGAGAACCTTTAGATGAACTTCTTTTTTTATTTTTTATTTTTTTTATTTATATAATGTTCAAGTAAAAACTTTTTACATGTAGAATTATAAGTTCTAAAATTAAAGATTTTTAAACTACATTTGTGCTACAAATTGGCATTCAATATAACATTACACTTCCTATTTCTTGTGAATGCTATAGCTAACTATTTCAAATTAGGTTCTAGCTAGGATAGGTTGAAGAAGACCTTTAAGTGATTGTCTGAACATTATTAAATACAAGAAGTTAGTGAAAAACCTTGTGTAAGCCATTTGATTATAGAAGAGTTAATATTTATAGTTTGAAGAGAGATTGTTGTATTGTTTGAAGGATTTGGTGATATTGGTAAGTATATTTTAGTGTGTTTAGATTTTGATGTAATGTTTCAAGATATTTCCAATTGATGTTGGTATGTGTTGCGAATAGACCAGAAATCTTAATGAAACCAGTTTAATAGATCATTTGAGAGCTGAAGTAGAAGTGCATCAGTTTGCTTGTTAATAAGTGTTTTTATATTTTCATAAATAGTAAAAGAGAAGGTCTCTGTAATAATATGTAAAATATGTTTAAATTAAGGATTTGGTGTGTTAAGTATAAAATTTAAAAGAATGTTTAATAAGGTTGTTGAGGTTATATTGGTAATTTTTAATAATATTAGAGTATCCTGTATTGTATTTTTGATTGATTATAGAATATTTGTAGTATTGCTAGGGCATAAAAATAAATGAAGAGTATCTTCGGTATTTGTACAGCGAGAGCAGTTTGGAGTAGTATAGAGATATGGATAATGAATATTAAGATTTTGTATAGTAGGTAGATTATTAGTAAGAATTTTGATATGAAAGAAGTATTTTTGTAGATTATTTTCAAGAGAGAAGATAATTTTAAATTTTAATAACTATTTAATGTTTGTGATATTTTGAACGAATTTTAAGTTTGACCATTTGACAATTTCTTGAATAGTTATAAAGTTTTTGATGAAGGTGTAAACTTTAATAAGGATTAGATAGTTATTTTATATGAAATAGTTTGAAGTATTAAATTGAGTTATTAATTTTGAAAATATGTTTTGTAGTTTCTTGTTTAGCAAATGAATCTGCTTGGTTGTGAAAAAAGTTTGTAGAGTGTAATTTTACTTTATGAAGGGTAGTAATAATGTTTTTAAGTTGTTTAAGATAGTTAATATAGTGAATAATGTCCTAGTTTTTAGTTTGTATAGGTTTGGGATTGGTAGCTGAGTTGAGGTTTTTGATTGCAGTTGTATTGTCAATATAAATGTTTAAAAAAATGTTAGAAGAAACTGCAAATAAGAGGATAAGAATTGCCTCAAGTTCAATGTGGGTTGAGTTAGAGTAGAATTGTAAAGTTGCATTAAATTTTATAGATGTATTATATTTACAAATTCATCCTATATCACATTTTGTTTCTGGAGTTTATAAATTTTTTATTGATCCATCAGTATAGAAGTGTAGTTTATCTGAATTAAGTTGGAAGATAAGGTGATTTAGATCGATTAGTTGTTTTTAATATGATGTTGTGTTGATAAATTGTTGAATAAGTTGAGCTTCATATGATAAAAGAATTATTTGTAGTTGTATTGATGGAGTTGATTGGATAATAGTGGTGCTATGTATTTGAGTCAGAGCTAAGATTTTTTTAAAATCAATTTGAATGGTTATTGAATCTTTTGATTTGATGACTAAGTTATAAGGTAGAAAAAATAAATAAAAATTTGATGTTGAGCAGTTAGTAGTTGGTAGTAGTTGGGAGAATTCTGAAGTGAGCATAGAAATTTCAAAGAATAATGCTTGTTGTAGAGAGGTTTGTTGGGAAATATATAGTGTTTGGTTATTTGTATAATATATACAATGAAAGTAGTGAGAGTTTGAGGATAAAGGTGGTGATATTAGTTTAATTGTATTCAGGAAAGTATTGATAGAAGGAAGGTTTATGTGAGAACAAGTTCAGGTTATAGTATTAGATTGGTTTAGATGTAAAATTTAAGTAAACCATTTTGGCTAGCAACCTTTATTAGGTTTGTTTGTATGTAAGTAGCTATTGTTCCATATGAGAATATTTTTGTTATTTGCAGTTATGATTTGTTCTAAAAAGATAATATTATTATTTCTAAAACTATTGATAGTAAACATAGATAGGTTGACAGAAAGGATGTCAAAAATAGTATGAGTGTTTTTTGGTATTAATGATGGAAAGGGTGTAATTTGTGAGATTATTGAAGATAGGATTTCATTAAAGGCTAGTTGAAAAAGATGGAAAAGTAGAATGTAATTTTGTATTTTTCAATAGTAGTTAGTTAAGATTTTTGATAAAAGTTGAGGTGACCATATTTAGGTAAGCAATCCTTTAATTCATTGGATGCCTATATTTTTAAGAATTGGTAGTATGTTAAATATTCATTTAGTATTAGCTGTACTGACTTTTTAAATGATGTGTTCATCAGAAAATTTTATATAGGAATATATAGTAATTGGTAACCTATTAGATATATATAGATACTAATCACTACTGCTGGGTTATATCGATTTTGGTATAAACTGATATATAACCAGCTTTAAACAATTGATATATATCTAATAAAGTTATCAATCAATATATAACCAGTTTAATCAAGTACTTTTTTTAAAAGATGATAACACTAATAAGATATTTATAAAACATATTATTTATAAAGCTAATTACAATACATAATATAAATTTATTACTGTTACTAAAACTGTATAATCATATTATAATGCAAATAAAAAAAATTTTTATAATTTATTACATAATAACTGCTAGCAAATATAAACTAATTCAAAAAAAAACATTTGAAGCAAAAATTTAATTATTGCAACCAAATAAATCATCAGCATTCTTCTGTAAAAGTTCCGTTTAATATTGAGATGATTGCTGAAATAATAAAGAACCTGTTTCAGGTTCATACTGGGGTGACAGGTAATACTGGAGTGACACTTGTCATGAAGAACCATGATTCTCATTGTTTAGTATCGATTTGGCTGTTTTATATAATAGATTACTATTACCAAAATCATTCTATATTAAAAAATAATTAATTAATTACTATTAATAAAGCATCTGCAATTAATAATGGCATTTACAAGATATCTTTCGATATGATGCATTGGATATTTTTCTGAACATGTAACACTTCTGAACTTGGGATTAAGTAAAATATCACAGACTGTGAGCATAAAAGCACAATGCTCATTTGAGAGTGTAGGTACAGCAACCTCAAAAAAGACTGCTCTTACAATTATTGATACCCAAAAGACACCTTTCTCATTTATTTCAAAAAGTGCATGATAACAATCCAAAACTTCTTTACTTTGCTTCCAACTTACTATATCAGCTGGTGTAGCATTTATTTTTAATAGTGGTAGTTTTTCACAACTAAACATATGCCAGACTGCTGCCCTTATATTTTGAACTAATGCACCTTGCAGGTTCTTTATTTTTTGCAAAAACTATTGTAAAAATTAGTAAATAAGTCATAATTAAAAGAAATATATTTTAAAAAATGATAAATATCGATACATACAGAGCTGAACCATTCACCATAAAACCTATTAGTATATTGATTGAAACTTAAACTATGCATAAACTCAGAATACCTTTCTTTAAGACATTGTTTAAGTGCATCCTTCAAATCACTTTGACTAGAATATATATTATATGAAAAGAGCTGCTTGGCCATGCAAGTAAGCACATTCTATATATATTTTTAAAAACAATATATATATTATATACTAGATGCTATATACTGCTTAAACACGCTAGATTCTAAATACTATATACCACTTAAACATGCTAGATCTAAATTGTTGCTAACCCAAAACACTTATATCTATTACTTGCACAAAGAGATCATTTTTTTGTTCTTCTTGATGCCTTTCCAGAGGGTCCCTATCATTTTCCCAACAATCATTTCCCTGACACCCCCTTCCCCTACAATCATTTCCCTAACAATCATTTTCCTGACATGTTAATTTCTTTGACAATTATTTTTCTGACCCATTAATTTCCTTGACAATTATTTTTTCTGACAAGATCATTTCCCCGACATGATAATTTCTCTGATATGATCATTTCCTCGACATGATCATTTCTCTGACATATCATTCACCCAACATATCATTCACCCGACATGATCATTTCTCCGATATATTATATTTACCTAATATATCATTTCCTTAACATAATCATTTCACTGATAATTACAAAATTATTTAACTGATAAAATTATCTGCTTTTTTTGTATTGTAAAATAAATGAACATCTTATGTTCACTCTTTTCAACTCAAATTCCAAATTCTCAAGATCATATGTTCCAATAACATTTACCATTCTGGCTGCTTTTTTTTTTTTGTATTGTAAAATAAATGAACATCTTATGTTTGCTCTTTTCAGCTCCAATTCCAAATTTCCAAGATCATATGTTCCACTAATATTTACCATTCTGGCTGCTTTTTTTTTTGCATTGAAAATAAATAAATGTCTTATATTTTCTTTTCAACTCCAATTCCATGAAAGTAGCAATTCCCAAGATTATATATTCCACTTACATTTACCATTCTGACTACTTTTTTTTTGTATTGTAAAATAAATAAACACCTTATGTTCACTCTTTTCAACTCCAATTCCATGAAGGTAGTAATTTTCAAGATTGTATGTTCTACTAACATTTACCATTCCAGCTACTTTTTTTTTGATTGAAAATAAATGAATGTTTTTATGTTTGTTCTTTTCAACTTCAATTCCATAAAGGTAGCAATTCCCAAGATTATATGTTCTACTAACATTTATCATTCCAGCTGCTTTTTTTTTTGTATTAAAAATAAATGAACATCTTATATTTTTTTTTTCAACTCCAATTCCATAAAGGTAGCAATTTATATTCCACTAGCATCTACCATTCTGGCTACTTTTTTTTTTTGTATTGAAAATAAATAAATGTTTTATATTTGTCTTTTTCAACTCTAATTCCATAAAGGTAGTAATTTCCAAGATCATATGTTTCACTAACATTTACCATTCTGGTTGCTTTTTTTTTGGTATTGTAAAATAAATGATTGTTTTATATTAGCTCTTTTCAACTTCAATTCTATGAAGGCAGCAATTTTCAAGATTATATGTTTCACTTACATTTACTATTCCAGCTGTTTTTTTTTTTTTGTATTGAAAATAAATAAACATCTTATTTTTGCTCTTTTCAACTCCAATTCCATGATGGTATTAATTTTCAAGATCACATGTTTCACTGACATTCCATTCCAGCTGTTTTTTTTTTTTTGGTATTAAAAATAAATGAAATTTTATATTAGCTTTTTTCAACTCCAATTCCAAATTCCCAAGATCATATGTTCTACTAACAGTTACCATTCTGGCTGCTTTTTTTTTTTTACATTGAAAATAAATGAATGTCTTATATATTCTTTTTAACTCCAATTCTATGAAGATAGCAATTTTCAAGATTATATATTTTACTTACATTTACCATTTTGACTACTTTTTTTTTTATATTGTAAAATAAATGAACATCTTATTTTTGTTCTTTTCAACTTCAATTTCATGAAGATAGTAATTTCCAAGATCATATGTTTTACTAATATTTACCATTTCAGCTGCTTTTTTTTTTTGTATTGTAAAATAAATGAATGTTTTATATTAGCTCTTTTTAACTTCAATTCCATGAAGGTAGCAATTTTCAAGATTGTATGTTCCACTAGCATTTATTATTCTGGCTGCTTTTTTTTGTATTGTAAATAAATAAATGTTTTATGTTCTCTCTTTTCAACTTCAATTCCATTAAGGTAGTAATTTCCAAGATTGTATGTTCCACTAGCATTTACCATTTCAGCTGCTTTTTTTTGTATTGTAAATAAATGAACATCTTATATTTATTCTTTTCAACTCCAATTTCATAAAGCAACAATTTTTAAGATTGTATGTTCCACTAGCATTTATTATTCTAGCTGCTTTTTTTTTATTGTATTGTAAAATAAATGAACATCTTATATTCTCTCTTTTCAACTCCAATTCCATGAAGGTAGCAATTCCTAAGATCATATGTTCTACTAGCATTTACTATTCTGGCTGCTTTTTTTTTTACATTATAAAATAAATAAACATCTTATATTCGCTCTTTTCAACTCCAATTCCATGAAGGTAGCAATTCCCAAGATCATATGTTCTACTAACATTTATCATTCTGGCTGCTTTTTTTTTTTTGTATTGTAAAATAAATGAACATCTTATGTTCACTTTTTTTAATTCCAATTCCAAATTCCCAAGATCATATGTTCTACTAACATTTACCATTCTGACTGCTTTTTTTTTTTGTATTGAAAATAAATGAACATATTATATTCACTTTTTTCAACTCCAATTCTAAATTCCCAAGATCATATGTTCCATTGGCATTTACTATTCTGGCTGCTTTTTTTTTGCATTGAAAATAATGAATGTTTTATATTTTTCTTTTTAATTCCAATTTCATGAAGGTAGTAATTTCCAAAATTATATGTTCTACTGGCATTTACCATTTCAGCTACTTTTTTTTTTTACATTGAAAATTAATGAATATTTTATGTTTGTCCTTTTCAACTCCAATTTCATGAAGGTAGTAATTTCCAAGATCATATATTCCATTGGCATTTACCATTCCAACTGCTTTTTTTTTTGTATTGAAAATAAATGAATGTTTTATGTTTGTCCTTTTCAACTCCAATTCCATGAAGATAGTAATTTCCAGATCATATATTTCACTGGCATTTACTATTCTGGCTGTTTTTTTTTTTTGCATTATAAAATAAATGAACATCTTATGTTCACTCTTTTCAACTCCAATTCTATGAAGGTAGTAATTTCCAAGATTGTATGTTCCACTAACAATTACCATTCCGGCTGCTTTTTTTTTGCATTAAAAATAAATGAACATCTTATATTCACTCTTTTCAACTCCAATTCATGAAGATTGTAATTACCAAGATCATATGTTCCACTAGCATTTCCCATTTGGTTACTTTTTTTTTTTTGTATTGTAAAATAAATGAATGTTTTATATTCATTCTTTTCAACTCCAATTCCATGAAGGTAGCAATTTCCAAAATCATATGTTCTACTAACATTTACTATTCCAGTTGCTTTTTTTTTGCATTATAAAATAAATGAATGTTTTATGTTCACCCTTCTCAACTTCAATTTTATTAAGATGATAATTTCCAAGATTACATGTTTTACTAGCATTTCCTATTCCAGCTGTTTTTTTTTTTGAAAATAAATGAACATCTTATATTTTTCTTTTTAACTCCAATTCCATGAAGGTAGTAATTTCCAAGATCACATGTTCCACTAACATTTAGCATTCTGGTTGCTTTTTTTTTTTTGTATTATAAATAAATAAATGTCTTATATTTGTTCTTTTCAACTCTAATTCATGAAGATAGTAATTCCCAAGATTATATGTTCTACTAGCATTTTCTATTCTGGTTGCTTTTTTTTTTTTTACATTGTAAGTAAATAAACATCTTATATTTGCTCTTTTCAACTCCAATTTCATGAAGGTAGTAATTTTCAAGATTGTATATTTACTAACATTTCCTATTTCAGCTGTTTTTTTTTTTGTATTGAAAATAAATGAACATCTTATATTCACTCTTTTCAACTTCAATTTCATGAAGATAGTAATTTCCAAGATCATATATTCCACTGACATTTCCTATTCTGGCTGCTTTTTTTTTTTTTGGCATTGAAAATAAATGAAATTTTATATTAGTTCTTTTCAACTTCAATTCCATAAATGTAGCAATTTCTAAAATCATATGTTCCACTAACATTTACCATTCTGTTTTCTTTTTTTTTTTTGTATTGAAAATAAATAAACATCTTATATTTTTCTTTTCAACTCCAATTCATGAAGATAGTAATTCCCAAGATCATATATTATACTAACATTTACTATTCTGGCTGCTTTTTTTTTTTGCATTGTAAAATAAATGAACATCTTATATTTACTTTTTTTTAACTCCAATTCCATGAAAGTAACAATTTATATTCCACTAGCATCTACCATTCTGGCTGCTTTTTTTTTTGCATTGAAAATAAATGAACATCTTATATTCGCTCTTTTCAACTCCAATTCTATGAAAGTAGTAATTTCTTAGATCATATGTTCCACTAATGTTTATCATTTCAGCTGCTTTTTTTTTTGTATTATAAAATAAATGACCATCTTATGTTCGCTCTTTTCAACTCCAATTCCAAATTCTCAAGATCATATGTTCTACTAACATTTCCCATTCTGGCTGTTTTTTTTTTTTGTATTAAAAATAAATGAACATCTTATATTTGCTCTTTTCAACTCTAATTCATGAAGATAGTAATTTCCAAGATCACATGTTCCACTAACATTTACCATTCCAACTGTTTTTTTTTTTGCTTTGTAAATAAATGAATGTCTTATGTTTGTTCTTTTCAACTTCAATTTATGAAGATAGTAATTTCCAAGATCACATGTTCTATTAGTATTTCTCATTCTGGCTGTTTTTTTTTTGTATTGAAAATAAATGAACATCTTATATTCACTCTTTTTAACTTCAATTCTATAAAGGTAGTAATTTCCAAGATCATATGTTCTACTAGTATTTAACATTCTGGCTGCTTTTTTTTTTTGTATTATAAATAAATGAATGTCTTATGTTCATTCTTTTCAACTTCAATTCATGAAAATAGTAATTTCCAAGATCATATGTTCCACTAGCATTTTCCATTCTGGCTGCTTTTTTTTTTTTTTGGCATTGAAAATAAATAAATTTTATATTAGCTCTTTTCAACTCCAATTCCATGAAGGCAGCAATTTTCAAGATCATATGTTCCACTAGCATTTACCATTCTTGCTGCTTTTTTTTCGTATTGCAAATAAATAAATATATTATGAATGTTTTTTATATAGAAATTATCATAAATTTGATAAATTATTGCATTAATTTGATAATTAATTAATAATTTTGATCAGAA